ATTTTAAGGTCATTGGAGGCATGGCGACAGATTTAGGTCATTTTAAGGTCATTGGAGGCATGGTGACAGGTTTAGGTCATTTTAAGGTCACTGGAGGCATGGCGACAGATTTAGGTCATTTTAAGGTCATTGGAGGCATGGCGACAGATATAGGTCATTTTAAGGTCACTGGAGGCATGTTGACAGATTTAGGTCATTTTAAGGTCATTGGAGGCATGGCGACAGATTTAGGTCATTTTAAGGTCACTGGAGGCATGGCGACAGATTTAGGTCATTTTAAGGTGACTGGAGGCATGGCGACAGATTTAGGTCATTTTAAGGTGACTGGAGGCATGGCGACAGATTTAGGTCATTTTAAGGTCATTGGAGGCATGGCGACAGATATAGGTCATTTTAAGGTCACTGGAGGCATGTTGACAGATTTAGGCAATTTTAAGGTCATTGGAGGCATGGCGACAGATATAGGTCATTTTAAGGTCACTGGAGGCATGTTGACAGATTTAGGTCATTTTAAGGTCATTGGAGGCATGGCGACAGATATAGGTCATTTTAAGGTCACTGGAGGCATGTTGACAGATTTAGGTCATTTTAAGGTCATTGGAGGCATGGCGACAGATTTAGGTCATTTTAAGGTCACTGGAGGCATGGCGACAGATTTAGGTCATTTTAAGGTGACTGGAGGCATGGCGACAGATTTAGGTCATTTTAAGGTCACTGGAGGCATGGCGACAGATTTAGGTCATTTTAAGGTCATTGGAGGCATGGCGACAGATATAGGTCATTTTAAGGTCACTGGAGGCATGTTGACAGATTTAGGTCATTTTAAGGTCATTGGAGGCATGGCGACAGATTTAGGTCATTTTAAGGTCACTGGAGGCATGGCGACAGATTTAGGTCATTTTAAGGTGACTGGAGGCATGGCGACAGATTTAGGTCATTTTAAGGTGACTGGAGGCATGGCGACAGATTTAGGTCATTTTAAGGTGACTGGAGGCATGGCGACAGATTTAGGTCATTTTAAGGTCATTGGAGGCATGGCGACAGATTTAGGTCATTTTTAGGTCACTGGAGGCATGTTGACAGATTTAGGTCATTTTAAGGTCATTGGAGGCATGGCGACAGATATAGGTCATTTTAAGGTCACTGGAGGCATGTTGACAGATTTAGGTCATTTTAAGGTCATTGGAGGCATGGCGACAGATTTAGGTCATTTTAAGGTCACTGGAGGCATGGCGACAGATTTAGGTCATTTTAAGGTGACTGGAGGCATGGCGACAGATTTAGGTCATTTTAAGGTGACTGGAGGCATGGCGACAGATTTAGGTCATTTTAAGGTCATTGGAGGCATGGCGACAGATTTAGGTCATTTTTAGGTCACTGGAGGCATGTTGACAGATTTAGGTCATTTTAAGGTCATTGGAGGCATGGCGACAGATTTAGGTCATTTTAAGGTCACTGGAGGCATGGCGACAGATTTAGGTCATTTTAAGGTGACTGGAGGCATGGCGACAGATTTAGGTCATTTTAAGGTGACTGGAGGCATGGCGACAGATTTAGGTCATTTTAAGGTCATTGGAGGCATGGCGACAGATTTAGGTCATTTTTAGGTCACTGGAGGCATGGCGACCTTTATTACTTAATTTACGGCATCAAATATTAGCCGATTTTGAGGGGTGCTAATAATGTGTGTGCATACTGTATTGTTCCGAGTCTCAATTTTGCTCATAACCGGTTCTAACTTCACAGACGTGTAAAATATTTTACTTTGTGTTTACAAGCCGCGAAAACACAGCTGACTACAATGTGGAGCCTGTATAGGGACGTCCATATATTACGTCGTCGTGATTTTAGTGGGTGGGTAGTTTATTCCTTCTTATTAGGAGTGGCAATCCGTCGGATCGGATCGGATTATGACGCCTTCGGAATGATCTGGTTCGGATTTAGCAGGTTTTCGGATCAATCCGATTCGGATTAAACACTCAATCCGATCCGACTCGGATTGATCCGTCGGATTTCGGATCGGATCGGATTGTAATCCGATAATTTGATAAAATATATGAATTTTTCGGGTACCTTGATACCTTGCTTAGTCATTTAACTCACAATGCGATGGTGTGAAGTGTAACCCTCCAATTTGGTCGAAATTTCGAAATTAAGTGGTCCATGCCAATACAACCAACGTTTCTTCAGGTAGTTTGTGCAATGGTCAAAATTTTGAAAAATATTTGCGGAAGTTGAAAAATGTGCAATTTTGAGCACTGGAAGAGAATGGAAGTTGAGTTTGCGTCCTTCGCCAGGTGAAAATCGCCCGTTTTTGAACTTTGACCTAAGATATTTTGCCAAATTCTGACCATCGCACAAGCTGGCTGAAGAAACGTTGGTTGTATTGACATGGACCATATAATTTCGAAATTTCAACCAAATCGGAGGGTTACACTTCACACCATCGCATTGTCAGTACCGGGTCCCCGCCCAGGTAATTCATACTTTTAAGCAATTCATGAATCATATTGGAACATTGAATTGGAACTGAAATTTATCAACTTTCCTCAACCAGCTCGGCACGAAATTTGCTATTGAAGTTACTGTCTATAATATAAAGTAACAAAGAAATAATACCGACCATGATTTGCTACCAATGAACGATTTATGACTCTAATTAGATTATTTAGTGATACTTTAAAATAACATTAAACAATTAATTCATTTAAAAAAAGACCCTAGCATAAGCTTTTAAAGTTAATCCATTTAGGATTTTGTGCGTCTTTCAATATTCAGAAACACCCTGAAAATTTCTGCCCTTTATCTTAAAAAGCAACAAATTGTAGATGAGACCTTATTAAAATGATTTCAGAAAAGCAATTTTAAGCAAACATGTTTAATTTCTGTAACCTGGTTAAAATTCGAAAAATTACAATGATTATTTAAAAATTCCGCGACGGGTAAAACATGCGCATGCAAGATATTGTTCTAACTATTGTGGATTCTATGACTAAACAGGATAGATTTGATTTTTATTTCAACCCGCCATTATTGTTAATCATGGGTACTTGATCTTGGAGTGTAGAAAATCCATCCTGTTTACATCGAGAAATCACAATATCGAATTATGAACCAGTGAAGTGAGACATAGTTTATACGCAGTGCTAGTGTGTACATTTTGGGGGAATGTGAAATAAATTCGCCAATCCGAAATCCGATCCGAGATTCGATGACCAGTTTCGGATTGATCCGATCGGATTAAGCAGTCAATCCGATCCGACCGGATTAGGATCGGATCAGGGAAAAATACAATCCGATCCGATCCTAATCCGCGGATTTCGGATCGGATCGGATTTTCTCGGATCGGATTGCCACTCCTACTTCTTATCTGTCCCATGTTAAAATTCACTATCCGTTAACGTATGTATACGTTGGATGGGTGGGTGCTAAAATCTAGGATTTTTGATAACGTAATATATGGATGGCCCCTTATAGGACGGTGATGAATGCATGAACAAAGTAATGTACATACTCGTTGGATTGCATTCCATTTTTACATGGAATTGCATGCAAGTTTACGACAATAAATTATTATGCTAGCGACGACATCCAATAATATTTATTTAATTCTTTCAAGAGTCTCCTCTTTGGCTTCCTCCGTGCACCACGTATCTCTCTCTCGCTCTGCATCTGGATCCTCTTCCATCTGGGTCGCGGGTGTGCCAGGGCAAGTAAAGTGTGTCCTAAGGGCTTTTCGCCACGTGAGCCTCGTCCACTCACACCCCCCACCTGCGTGCCTAGTGACAACCCCTGCCACACCCGTCCCAGCAACGACAAGCTGAGCCATCAGGCGAAGATGGATTCGCAGGACCCAGTGCACAGGAGGATCTACGCCTTGGAGGGACTCCCCCAGGTAGGTTTTTGTTTGGCATATCGGGGTGGTGACCGTGGGGAGTGGTTGTTTGAAAAGTGGGGGGGGGGGTCGTGCATGACGGAGAGCGGCATAGTCAGGTCTACGGGGGTCCCATGACCTGATTGTGTTGTGATGGGTGAAGGGGCAAGTGGGGGTGTCGTCGGCCCCGCTACGGCTTCCATGGGGGACGTGGGCAAGATCCTGCGGTCCGTGGACAGCCCCCGCCCAACAACCTTCAACTGTCTACTTCCGCATGCAGGCGCCACCCTCATTTGGATATCACCAAAACCCCACGGAATCCGCCTATGTATCCCTGCCATGCATTATCCTACCTGGTGTCCAGTAGTATTGGGCCGAATGGTGTATTGGGCCAACTTCCCAATACATGTAGAGGTTTTCCGAAACCATCTCCGGTTTTTCCTCTACACCCATACTGCTACATACATATTTATTTTTGAAGGTTTGTATGTAATGAATGAACGATGATGATTGTAAAAGCTTGCGCTATATCAATCTTGAATAAACCTACCTACCTATTTAATTGTTTCAATATAATAATTTTTAGAAATGCGGTATTTAAAAAGGGTGCATAAAATGAAACTGAGAATTAAATTACTGCTCAATTTTTCCTGTAAAAATTAATCAGTTTAGGCAAATTCTTCTAGTTATATAAATAGGTGTATTCATCCAGTAAAAAATATATAGATTTTATGTACAATAATTTTATATTTTGCCTAAGAATTCTTTCCTGAATATTTTAAGCGTGACAATACAGATATATTAATGTACGTATGTATGTGTGAGAACTTAATTATTAATTATATCAATAGTTAATTAGCGGAGAAATGATAAATTCAAAGCAAATTTTCTTTGAAACCGGGTAACATTATTTTTAACTATGTATTAGTAAGTAAACAGAAAATTTATATTAGGCATATTATAAATTAACATACCGTAAAACCTCTATTTATAGCCGGGGCTAAAATCCAAAACGGAGGATCACGGACCCGGCTAAAATTAGAGACCGGCCATAATTAGAGACCCGGCTAAATTTTGTTGCTCCAAAAATTTTAGGTGTTACAAAATCAAATATAATTGATTTTGACTCAATTTGAGTTTTCTAATTTAGCAAGATAAGCCATAAGTAACCCAGTCACTTTTAATTACCATCTTGAAACGAAGTTTAGCAGGTTTTTTTAAATTTTCTGTCATGATTATATCCATTATTAACCTGAAATTAATAGGAAAAAATTAGTAGTTCAACTTATTCGTTGATTTGCATAATGTGCAACATTTTTCTTTAATGGACTATGAACAGGGACACAGAGGACAAGACAGGTCATAATTAGAGACCCGGCTATAATTGGGGACCCGGCTATAATTAGAGACCCGGCTAAAATTTTGAAATCTTGGTCTCTAGACCCGGCTATATTTGGAGATCGGCTTTAATTAGAAGAGGGCTATAAATAGAGGTTTTACGGTAAGTCATAAATACATATTTATAAACATTTTTAGTCATCGTCTAGCAGTAAGAAATCCGTCATATTTGACACAGGGGCACTTCTGCAATCCTCGTTTGCCACGTCCTCTCCGGCATACCATTCTTGAAAGTAGAACCACCCACTCCTACAATTCCATAGGATTTGTTGACAGCTACAAACTACCCGAAATCGGTCCGGGTATTGCGTCGCTATCCAGTTGTATAACGTTTGGTCCTTCCCGACAAACTCGCCCAGGCTCAATTGAACATCATGGATGGCGTAAAATGTTCTACTGAACCAATTAATTGAGTACACCGTTCCTCCAAAGAACGTCCCTATTACGAAGTCCATCTCTGCCATTTCCTCAAATGTGTTGGAGTCCGGGGGTGGTTTGTAGTTGGGAAATCTTCCGACCGTAAAAATATTAAGTTTCTTGTAATTCTCCGATCTGCAGGGGTAAATAATGAATTTGTAATTATTACTTATTTATTTAGGGTTCAAAGTTTTGACAATTTTAACGGAAATTATTTTTAAAAAAGGGCACAATAGAAGTCTCCCAGCGGATGCTCTCAGATTTTGATATAACTAGTGGCAATCGATCACAAATTTAATTGGTATGAAACAGTGTTGTTTAACTATTAATAAAAGTAGCATTTGCAAATTTCACACTATAAAATTTGCAAAAGACACGATCTCCCAATTTGCAAGTTTGGCAGAGATATTTGCATCCAATGAGGAGAAAGCGCACAGAAAGTTAGAAAGTGTAAGATTGCTCGACTTTTATTGGGCTTTTTTACCACTTTGAATGCAAATATACCTTATCGCCAAACCTGAGCATTTGCAGATCGCGACTTATTGCAAATTTCATGTTAACTAAATTTGTCATCAGTGGACTCAAACTTACAAGGGAACCTTAAGTACTGTCACCTCTCGATTTCCTTCGGAATAGCCTTATTCGACAGATAATTTAGTGAAACAAAAACTTTGTCATAGAACATGCGGTGCAAAATCGCGTTTTCGCGAAATATTTGGCGAGAGCTGCACCAAAACCTGCCATTTGCCCAATGCTTTTAACATAGCCACCAGCCTTTCGAATGATGAAATGAACTTTATAGAATCTCAATAAATTATATTTGTACCTGTCCGCGTAATTTCAGCCCGATCACGAATATGCAAAAAATGATGCAAAGATTCGCAAATTTTTTGCACATTGCAAAAATGCAAATATCCGCAAATTTGAATTTCTTCGTTTTTTTTAAATTCAACAAATTTATCAGTTTAACTGATATAAAGTATACTTTTCTGATTGCCAAAAAATTACAAAAATTTGCAAAAAATTGAAGTTTACAATTTTTAAATTCTGCTTTTTATAGAAACTTAAGAATTATCATATATGCTGGTATGAGCGAATAAAAAAAGCTAATTTGTTGAACAATTAAAACATGCTAACATTGCAAAAAATTCTACATATTGAACTATAAAATTGCACCAAGTTTTTGCAACTTGTAAAAATAAATACCACAAATAATTACGAAAACCACGTAAAAATAGATTATTTAATTTATTTTCATGAAAAATTGCGAAGTTCAATTTTTTGAAAATGTGTGCAAATTTTTTGCAATGACAAAAGTATATTTTATATCAGTTAAACTGATCAATTTGTTGAATTAAAAAAACGAAGAAATTCAAATTTGCGGATATTTTTATATTTTCGCAATTTGCAAAAAATTTGCGAATCTTTGCATCATTTTTTGCATATTCGTGATCTGGCTGAAATTACGCGGACGGGTACAAATATAATTTTTTGAGATTCTATAAAGTTCATTTCATCATTCGAAAGGCTGGTGGCTATGTTAAAAGCTTTGGGCAAATGGCAGGTTTTGGTGCAGCTCTCGCCAAATATTTCGCGAAAACGCGATTTTGCACCGCATGTTCTATGACAAAGTTTTTGTTTCACTAAATTATCTGTCGATTAAGGCTATTCCGAAGGAAATCGAGAGGTGACAGTACTTAAGGTTCCCTTGTTAGTCAAAAGCGGAGAGCAATCGGGAAACTTCCGTTGTCGGTAAAACGATGCCAATATTTGGATTTGAGTCTATTAAATAAATTCCACATCCTTAGTCTCATTAGTCAGAACTTTCTCCAGTACATACGAGCAATTTACACAATTTACGTACACATGTAATTAATAAAGATGTAAATATAATCCCACATTAATTTTAAAAAAGCTACCTCTCATCCTCTCCAAAGACTTCCAGAGATCTTTCCAGATTTGGATAATTTCCTAACTTAATGTCCGACTCTCTCACACAGCCGACATCCATCCAGTAAAAATACGTCGAATTGAACGGATTAAGTTCCGACATGGTCTGGAGAAACCAGGGTTTTGAGTTCCACACGGCGTACAATTCGGGAGAATGTCGAGATCTTTCCGGATCTATTGCATGCATTTTGTGGTAATCGTCGTGCAAAGAGTGGGGTTCAAGGAGCCAGGGGACGTCCCAAATTTCGTTGTAAAGTACGAAATGTGTCGGCCTGCCGTTCCGAACTTGGACCATCAGATCTACGTACAAAAAGTTATGAGGGAAGTGAGTACCTCGGTAATTAAAGCAGGGTGAGACAAAATCGTCATAATCATCAGGGATGGGCAATCCCAACAATTTCGATGGATTACGGATTACAGATTAATTCATTTAAAAACTATCAGGGGATTACTGGATTGGGATTACTTCGTTCCTGAAATAATGTGGATTACTTGTTGGATTACTGGGATAAATTAATGACGTGGATTACGGATTACAGTAATCAGATTACGGATTATTATCTGGATTACAAAAATCTATATTTATGTCTTAAGGGGTGAAGAGAAGCGAAATCCCTTTATGGAAAAGTGTTGTCCGCCGGTCTGTATCCACGATATGTAACTTTACAACGGTTTCGAATTTCAACATGGGGTTTTCGCAAACGGGTTTCTAATTTTCGAGGTACGGATGAGTTCGAAAATGGGAATTGTAGGTCATAAGGTCACAGCGCCACGGTGACGACGCCACGGGTCAAACGTGTCGAATTTTTTTGCCGTTTTAGACGTAGTTTCGGGCGAGGATTACAAAAATCTTCATAGTTTGGACGTGACATGACCGAGTGACCGTGTTGACGACGCCATAGTCGAAAATATCGAATTTTTGTATTGATACTTTTAGACGTAGTTTTAGGCGGGGATTTCAAAAATAAAATCTAGACATAGTTTTGGCATGCCATGACCGCGTGACCGTCTCGCTCCACCCGTTTGCTACATTTCGTTTACAACGGTTTATTCTGAATAGCGATACACTTATATTTCAAAATGATGATGCTTAGTTTAAAAAGCAAGAGCTTTGAATGATTCATCCTACAGTCGGTTTCTTAGGGCAGACAAAAATGTATTGTAGTAAATAAACCCCTGTTAATTGTTCCCAAATTCTCTTAACTTTGCGCCTCTGCTGAAGAATCCAGAAGGTAGTTTAAGCACTCAAGTTCAGCAAGTGACTCAGACTCTGGAGAAGGTGCAAGATGGAGCTGTCATGCCGTTTACAGGAGCAAAGTAATCCAACAAAGTAATCCGTAATCTGATTACATTTTCCAATCTCGTAAATTGAGGATTACGGATTACACATAATTAGCAGACCTAGTTAGGATTACGGACTACGGATTACTTTAAAATGTGAATTTTTCGTGGATTACTGGATTAAGGATTACATTCAATGTAATCTGATTACTTAATCTGATTAAAGTAATCCTGGGATTGTCCATCCCTGATAATCATCACATTTTAAAGCATTTCTCAGCTCCAGGAATTTATTTTACAATTCTAATCGACGAATTTGTAGCCAACACTTAAGTTGATTCATGGTGATCATTTAATTTAAGATAACCCAGTTTCGAAAAGCTCCAATCCTTCTGAAGGTTTCTTAAACTTGAGACGTCCTGCACAACCTGGAGAGTAAAGTTTATAGAAAATTAGCAATCACCTACTTTTGTTCTAAAATTCACTGTCCGGAATTTTATATACAATAAACTCCCAGAGCCGAGAAATGATTAAAAATGTGATGATTTCAGCGAACTTCCATCGAGTCCACGTGGAATCCACAATGATAGAAATTTCGTATAGTCACGCAAGGTTTGGTATCTCGATATTAAAGCTGCTACCGCCTGGTAATATTAAGACGTAAGTCGTAACTATATGTAAGCCGTAACAATTTTGTTCCAATGTATCAAAGTTGAACAATTAGCTATTACGGCACGGTATTACTTTTCAATACCACTTTGGTAGAGTCATATATGAATACCGGTTGGTATTATTTTAATACTGGATTTATAAAAGTACAAGATACATACATACACATTCGCCCGCGATTATTTCGTATTCGTGCAATGAAAGATAACCACATACCTTTAAATTTGGGCTGAGTAAATATCACGATCGGTGTATCCACCTGACCGAGAAAATTTTTCAGCCAGACTTTATACTCTTCCAGACTGTGTTTCGCCTTCTCCATGCCGAAGAAAGCGGTCACCAGCGTCGTCGTGTAGTTTCTTCCTTCGGAGTGGTTTCCCCATCTCACATGCAACTTGTTTAGACGGTCGGTTTCTTCACGAATTAAATAAAGTGGTAAGCGTGGCTTCGAAAAGATGAGATCGTGACCGTACATGACATAAATTAGGAGGCCGATTGTGCCAACTGCAGAATAGGAACAAGAAAATTAACTTACACGTGCAACCAAAATCTTAAAAATTCATTTTTAAAAATATGTATGTACACTCTTAAAAATAATGTTACCCTTTTGAACAGTAAATGCACTCTGATATTCAGAGTCTGAAATTCGGAGTCTGAATTCAAAATTAAGAATGCAAACTAAATTTTATTTTTTGTCAAGTTACATAGCGTTACTCCGGATTTTTTTTGTACTTTACTTAATATAAAATTCAGAGTCCATTTACTTCTAAAATATCTAGTAACAATATTTTTAGCGTAAAAAACAAATAAAAAGGTAGTTGATTAAGTCTCACCTGATAAAAAGTATGCTACATTTTTAGAGGTCATAATTCCTTAGAAAATGCGTATATTTTTATTAGGTACATATATTACAGCACGATTTTTACGTCTTTAAAAGTAAATGAAATTTATTTTAAAAAATAAATATTTCCGTGAAAAATAACACCAACACAAACAGATGCCCGTTACATTACTGAGCTCACAACAGGTGTGTTTCACATTGACGCATATTTATCTGTGAAACAAACATAAGTGGCAATTGATAAGGTTGGCTGATTTGTAGGATGGGATGTGCACGAAGGATGTGCGGAAGGATGAGCTATCTTTTTCACGCTGAATTGATGATTATGCATCTTAATCAATTCGTCTCGCAAAATGAACGTGGAAAGTATTTTATCAAGTTTATGTATGACGTATTCTATGCACGACTTCGATTTATCCTCTGGGTTAGCCTTCATCTGCTTATTTGTATACTTTGTCCTGCTACAACGGTGACCGAATCTCATTTTTTTGTGGGATAATATACTCACAGTGGCCGCGGAAGTTGGGGGTGGCACAGGGGGACGTTAGCATTAGAAGAGGAGTGAATTATCTATTAACATGGTAATCAACTTACGATTTTACTGAATTTCTAGTGGGACAATGTCCTCTTGCTTCAGACGCCAATGTGTATGGCATATCTAATTTATAATTGTCACAAATTGTGTACCAGTTTTATTCTACATTTACAAAATTCTTAGAAAATACAGGTTTGAATTAAATGCATATGCATACATTTCCATTTTGTTAGAAATTGTGTATACACATGTATAATCTTAGCACTAATTAAACAAATTTTTAAGTGGTGACTACATATTTAACTAATCTCAATACGATTCTATTTATGCTGTCGCACCAAATATTGTTTGCACCGAATGAGAAGTCAGTATATACATTTATGATAATTTTTATTATGAGCTTGCGGCTATTACAAGCGTGGTAAAAACTTAATATGGGTCGGTAACAAATTTAATACAAATATTGTATGCATTGTCATGCATACGATATGGGCTTCTTACGGGATTATTGAGAGTTTTTTTTAATGCCACTCGTCACTCAAATATTCCAAATATTTATAAAATATATTTGTATTCCATACAACATATTTACATACATACGCCCACATTCTTAATTGCAGGCATACACGTATACAAAAAGTTTGTATAATTGTCTGTATATTTAGTAAATCTCTTCATGCTCACGCGATTCTGTATTAGAAAAAAAACTCTTACGGAAACTCAACAAATGGATATTTACAGCAGGACAATTTCTAAATAATAAAGTTCAACATATCACAAAGTATTTATCCAGAAACTATTATCCCCCAAACAAATGTAATTGCGCATGATGAAGGGAATGCTGCAAAACATTTGGATTAATTAGGGATTTACTAAATAAATGACGTAAAACCATGACATTGTATATAGAATGAGGGAAATATCCGGCGTGTGGAGATACATACGCTTGTTTTTTAAAAAATCTAGTATAAAAGCACCAGCAAAAGAGAATAGTTGTATCCATAACCGGAATTCAATACCTTTAAACAATTTTTTCTTAACCATTCAATTTTTTGGGAATGGAATTTCGCAATTTCTTCATAATTTCGGTCTTGTTAGCGACACAATGTTTCGCCGCACTGCAAAAAGCTAAGAAACCCGAACTCAACCCTCGCCTTGGTCACAACCAGGAAAAAATTCGCACCATTTTTTCCTCCATTCTCCCAATCGACTTCCGCTACTCTTATTCTACTTCCGGTAACGATTACAACGCTCAGTTCCGACCCCGCGGGGAAAATGAGACGTCCGAAGACGACACCCAACTCAACCCGACTATTACCCGGATAAATTTAAAATTCTTGAAACTCACCGCCCTAAACGATACGAATCTCCGCTGTGGCAGTTTAAAGGTAACTGGGAAGATCGGCGTCGAATTTTTGGATTCCCGCCTCGCCTACGATGCCCCAGATGGGATTAAGTTTGTCGAATTTTCCGAAGCTAGTGATCAACTATGGTTCCCTCGTCTTAATATCGGTGGGAAATATTTGCGACTTAACAACCGGGACCGTTATAACGGGTACAATTCTCAAAATGACCAGTTCGAGACGCACGCGAGAGCCTGGATTAGTCCGGAAGGTTTGGTGTATCACGATGTAGCCTTCGAGAGGGAACTGACATCGTGCAAAGTCGGGGCGGAAAATTCAAACGGGATGGAATTTGAGATGCAAATTTTAAGCGATAAGGACTTGGTGGACGATGTCCAACTCGAGTGGGCGCCTAAAAATGCTGTCAATGCGAAGGAGGAAAGTATCAAATCAATAAACGGGATGGATTACAAGGTTAGCGTGACGCACGATAAGTGCAAACTTGTCGAGAACTTTGGATCCTTTGGCGAACAAGAATTTGGCTGTCTTACCAGTTACATTGTTCTGGGAAAGATTTGAACAAATTTTGGAAAACTGACGGCTTTTAATATTATCGGAAACATGAATGTATTGGGAAAGAGATATGCAAATAAGTATATTAAATTTGATTGTTTTTTTGTCTTAGAAAATTAAATAAATACGTGCAAATTATGATTGATTATTTAATTATTTAATCTACTTTTGCACAAAAAATAATCTTCTGAACTGCAACGACTCACTAAAATTGACACATGGCAGACTTTTTTATTCCCATATTTTTAAATTCAGACAATCCCATTAAATTTCCTTTCCTGAAAATAAATGACATATTTTTGAAGCATTTGAATTTTATTTTTTCCTTCATAAATTGTAATGTTTTGTATATGAAACTTTCGTTAAGAAATAAGTTGCATTTTTTCGAAAGTTTTGTTGCATTTTGTTCAAAAATTTAAATATCACTTATATCTTCGTCTCTCCGATAAAACACAGACTGCTACAGAAACCAGGATCCAACCTGTGCCGGACAGGAATCCTTTGGTCACGTGGGGATGCTCCAGCCCCCATCCGCGCGTGCAGATTGATCTGAAGCTATCCACGATGTGGGTGGTTGGCAGAAATTGTGACAGGACTTGGTACACCGGCGTCGCCATTTCCAGGGAGAAAAGCGCTCCTATTTATCAACAAAGATGTACACATCTCAATAATAAGCGTGAAATTTCAAAAATTGATCCTGAATATATGTACCTGAGGAAAATGATTGCGTTACCGTTACAAAGAGAACGATTAACACCGTTTCGAGCATATCATCCCGCAAACTTGATATCATCCAGCCTATGAAAACCGATAAAAATATTCATTCCCACACTTGAAAATTTCCGAATTCAGTTCAATCTTTTGTTCACACTTGAATGTAACTCTTGTTAATATTTTGAAGTTATTCCTAAACTTTTCGAGAGACTAGTACATAACAGCCCGCATTATTGTTTAAAAGCTCAACCTTTTAGAAAGAATTATCCTTGGTTTAAAGACTCCAATGGGAATGGCGTATTAAAATTTATGAAATTTGAACTTCCCGCACCAAAATTGTCAAACCTACCAATGGTTAGCCCCACAATGGCTGTTAGATACGCTAATCCCACCGCAATTTCAAACATTCCTCGAACTTCCATTCCATAAATGAGGTGAAAAAGTGAAAAGAAAACGACCAGCTGTGCCCAGCTGATGATTGACTGTGTCACGACATCAGCCAATAGGCGATGTCCCAGCGTGACACCGGCCACGTAATCCCGGTCTTCGAGACCAAATCGTCTATCCTCCGAGGTCACGATGGCACCCGCATTTGACAGCATGAACAAGAGCCTATGCATAGTTAAATTATTAGAATAATGTGTACTTATTATATATATTTTTTTAATGAAAACTCACAAAATGAAAATGCCAGGCTGCATGTACAAAATAATTCGGTAGATGTCGGTATTTCCATAAACGGCGTGGAACTACATCAGCAAACAGTGGGATAAATGAAACCTTTGCTAATTAAGGGCTAATTGTCAGATTCCAAATTTTAATTACCGAATAATTGCAATATGGTTTTTCAAAATTACGAACCTTAAGTGGAGGTCGCACAATTTCACTTCCGTTTAAAGAACACCCTTTCCCAATACTTTCAATAAATGCAACGTATTTTTCCACCAGAGTTTTCTTTAGCCAAGAAGCGGTTATCGGACCTTAAAAGTAAATTATTTTCTTAATTACATTTCATGAAAATATTGTTTCCATTCTTTGTACTTGACTCATCCATTCGGACGGATATCGTTGATCCAGCGATGGTCTCGTTATTGGCAAAATTCCGATGTAATATTCTGTTCCTGGTGTGATTACTAAAGTCATCTCGGAATTCTAAGAGTGCAATGGTATTCCCGAGCTGAATGCTCTGTAGCGCATGCGTATAAGAGTTTATTGGAATCTGTGTAAAAAATGGTAAAAATATTTAAATTTGTTTTAAAGTGTGTTAATAATAACTAAATGATTACCCAATTAAACTCTCCATTGTCAAATTGCCCAATAAAATCGCAAATTCCCACGTTTTCTAAACATTTTACTTCAGTTTTCTCATTAAAGTTGCAATATTGTTCCAAGTCAATGTTTACGTCGTAATCAGGCATTACAACGGCGACATTGACACCTTTCGGGGTAGGGCCGACAATAATTTGGAAGAGGACGATGGCCATTATTGGTATGCAGAATTCAATAGCAATAAATCTGAAATTAAGATTTTTTCATGTAATCCTCATATTATTGGGGTTGGTAATCCGATCCCCGATTGGACCGGGCCATCTGACAATTTAGTATAACATAGATCCGATTTCATTAATACCCGGAAAGCGGATCAATTCGGATCGGATTCGGAAATTGGTTTAATTCGGATCGGATTCAGAAATCAGATCGGGTTTAAATTTCCATACCTCCAATCTCGCTTCCTTCTTAGCCACCATTTCATTCCCAAGGCTCCTAAAATCGAGGCATGATTCCTCTCAGCAGTCGATACTATTCCCTGATTACTTTGAATACCGGTGGTAACTAAATTGTAAGCTTTCTTATCTTCACAACTTTTAAAATCCGAATAATTCTTCATCCTTTCCGAACTTTCATCATTTCGACACAACTCGAGCGCAACTTCTTCCAAGGTTTCAAATCCGAATTTATTTAAAAGTGATTGCGGACTATCTTCCACTAAAAGTTTTCCACCTCTCATAAAGCCAATCTGTTAAGATATTACTAAATAAGTTTCCGACCAATTTTTTTCAAATGTCGAATTCTTTCTATCTCGTAAATACCTTGTCGCAACGCTTCGTCTCCTCTAAGTAATGCGTCGAGATAATTATTGTGGTGTCATTAAGTCGTGAAATATCGAAGAGGTGTTCCCAAATACTGCAACAAGGTTAGTAAATTACAGCTTAAATCTTGGATAGTCATAATAATTATATCAGACTCAAATATCCTTTTGGTAGACATTTGAGACATTATTTTTTTAATTTCCGTAACTCTCTTAAATTTTGTAACGATTTTCAAAGTTCAGGGTGAAATTATTATGGGGAACCTTGTAAAAATTTTTCATATTGTGTCCTAAATTTTATTCCAAACTTCAAAGACATAAGGCAAGAGTTACAGAATTTAAGAACGTAACATCGCAAACCCCCTAATTTTATACCGTTGACGAAGAAGTGGATCTAGACCAACGCTTGGCTCGTCTAAAACGAGAAGACCTGGCTTATGGATTACAGCCACGGCCAGGGATACTCGCCTTTTCTGACCGCCGCTATTGAGCAAGTCCAAAAAATATGAAATATTTATATTTTTGAAAATTATTGTATAGCTTAAAATTTGCATAAATCACCTCAACTCCCGTATCGACCTATTTGTTGGTGGAAGGTCAAGAAATGCTGACAAGAATCTTATCTCATTTTCAATTTCGGACAAAGTCATGCCATAAATCATCCCAAAATAACGGAGTACTTCCCCAATTGATAAGGCATTCATGAGTGACAAATCCTAAATTTATTAAAAAACGCTTACAAATTTGTACATTGGATGGGCAAATCCGTTATACTTTGCACTTTAAGGGTACTGACGACAACTCATGTATCATGCAATCTTCGTGTGGTAACGGAAATGAGGGAGCAAAACAAATACACCCATGCAAATTTCATCTTGATTACGACTGCATAAAGTCCGGCAAAAATTTGCAGTTAAATTATCGTAAAAATAATTTCAAATAATCTCACTATTAAAAATTACTCAATGTATTTCACACATTTTGAGGCAGTTCACGCTACGCAGGTGGTGCTAGCATTGTTAACCCCGTAGATTTTGTATTCTTAAAAACTTTTACAAATACCTTGTACGTAGGAAAATTAGCCTGCAAATTTTTGAAAACTTAACTAGATCAAGGGAATATTTTTCTTTTGTAAAGGTTTGTAAAGTTATTCTGCACAATTTTCGATACCAACTGGATAAATTTCTTATCCAATTGTAAAACTGAAGACAGGAACAACCAATCTTTCACATATTCAGATTCACCTTCGGATAAAATGCATTTTTTTTAGACAAGTTTTGATTTATATACGTAAAGAATCCAGACTCCAAAATGTTAGTTTATGTATGTATGTAAAAATACCTGCGGCATCCATCCACACAAATTTCCCAAGCTTCCTTCCCTTCTTTGGTTAAATACGACCACATCGCCGTCATCTAACTTCTTCAATCCAACAATGCATGATAGCAGGATTGTTTTCCTGAGTTCGAAATTTATTTATTTTTAACAATTTCAAACAAGCCAGTTAATTATTTATTAACCTAAATCATTAAGTAATTTCAATTGATTATAAACTATTTAGTCAACCTACCCGCATCCGCTCGATCCAAGCAGGCCGTAACTGTGAGTATATACATGCATAGAATACATAATTGCATAATAAATGACACAATTTTGGACACAATCTCTATAATTTTTTACGTACATTTCCCCACGACGGACGTCCATATTTAGCCGATTTAACACAAAATTTCCTCTTCCAGCATATCGCTTACAACCATTGGAAATTTTTACGGCCATTATTTCCTTGTAAGAATTAACGTATGTAAATATACTAATTTTGCATGAAAAATTTTGGCCTTCCAGGACAAATGGTGAGAATGATGGATTGCTTGGTGAGACTGATTCAGTTAGTTCAATTCAGCATCAATCCTTTCTTTCATTTCTTACTGACACCCTGTCAGTGACAGGGTTCCTCGTGAGGTGCGAAAAGTACTTAAAAATATGTCAAATGTTAATCTCTAACAGAAATTAAAATTTTATTTTCAAATAAATTTACAAGAAATGTACATTAGATGCTTAAGCACTTTAGAAAAAAACGCAAACCTTATCGTTCATCCCAGCAGTATTTAAATAAATTTAAACAAATATGTAAAATTTTAAATACTGAATATAATAAAATTAAATTCAGGAATACAAATTTATTTTCACTTCCTTATGTACCTAACCCCGTGCGAAATATATATATTTTACTCAAGATACATCACAATAATTATGCAGCTATATATTATATAGCTGCACTTTTTGTATCAAAATCTAAATATACAGATGAACCACTGATACATAAATACCACGTTATACGAAACCCTGGGTAAGTATTGTATGTTTACACAATACTTACCGATAATGGGATAACGCTCGCAGAACTGTTGTAGTAATTATCAATCCCATACCACGTAACCGAACTGGAACCACACAGATTACGAGTTTTATATGTGTACTTGTAACCACAAATTACTCCTATATTACCATTTATTTGCTTTATTCGTAATGTAGCCACCCCGAGTTGCGATATATGTTGCGGTCATAAAGCTATGTAGATAAATCATCTTCAGAACATATATGTACATTGCACTAAACTAATCTTCACCTCGTCTGGAGATCAAGTTACAATTTTTTGCTAATCATGTTTCACTTTCTTTTTGTCTCATTTGATGAGAATTTCGCAAGTTTGGGTAACATGTAGAATTGTTATTTTTTTATTATTACGAGTGAAGAAATGTATGCACGGATTTCGGCAGTTGGAAAATCCATAAGCTGGAAAAAAGCTTATTAAAGTTAAACTGGATTACAATTATTTTGTAATAATGTATAAATCTGAATTTAAGTATGATGTAATTTTAACGATTTAGCCAAACCAACTTTATACGTAGAGAAGTTGGTAAGATTGCAAAAATGATTAGATCTGACCAATAAATAAGATTTTCATGATGTACATATTTAAGATGTATGGAATCATGCGAACTTTATTTTTGCTAATATTACGACATATTTCTAATATAACAATTTTACCTATTCGGGAATACGAAATTTCTTACTGAGTTAGTTTGACAAGTGTAAGAATTGAAATCGCATTGTTGTTGAGACTGGCTTAAACTAATTATCATCATTGTAATTTTCATGTGTGACCAGTGAACCGGTTTCATATGTAGAGATTTCTTGCTTATTTTTATAAGGATCATTTTTTCATGTCGAAAAGCTTAAAGTGTGGAGGGCCTCTCCTCCTAATCGTAAGTTTAATGTTAAACACTTGACACACGATAATGTGCACAGTACATATTTATTTATGGTAAATATTAATGGTGACCCTAAGTGACTGAATGGGATACCCTAAGAACTAAACCCTACGGTGGACTGAATAGCCTTGCCTAACTTGCCAATAACCATCCTTATTTATCTTAAACTTTACCCTAACGTCCCAATATATTTTATTTATCTAAATTATACATACTAAATAAAAATAAATAAAATTTACTCAAAGTTGAATAAAAAGAAGGATGACACTACCAAAAGGTGAACATTAGCCAACGTTGTACACAATTTACCCACCCGTTGGACAAATTTTACGTACATTACCTTGAACAAAATTTTGCACAAGTGTAGCATAAATTTTACCTTTTGGTTGTGTCATCCACTTTTCTTGTACTCAACCTTGAGTAAATTTTACTTATTTTGATTTAGAGTATATGTAATCCGTACGTACAGTCAAAAGGACAAGAATCAAATTAGTTAATTTCTCTATTTAATTTTCAAATATTTAAAAAGCATATTTGTGAGCATTTAATCAGACTTGCATATATCTGCAGAGATTTTAATATCTCTGATACTTGCAAAAATGATGTACCTCTTGGCATAAAACGTGGACCAGGGAGCCCAAAGAAATGCAAGCGAGCCCTTGTTGTTGACGAATTTTTTACTAATTTAAGAATCAATTCTGAGAAATGGTCTTAACAAATGCTAATCGAGATGTAATTACCTAAAAAATTATGTAAATCAGCGATTTTTAACTATCAGAACTTTAGGGTCGAGATTCAGTTATTATTAGCTCACCCTGCGTAGCATGAGAGCTATTGAATTCCTCTTGTCCGTCCGTCCGTCTGTCTGTTGACGAGTTTTTTGCATCAATTGATGCGAATTAATAAGTCCTTGCTCCATTATTACCGGTCTGAGGAGCACCATTGGTATCGAACAAGCCGTGGCGCAAATGGTGCGAATTAATTGTGCAAATTGATCAAGAAATGACTACAATTTTGGAATAAGTAGCACCGTTAGTACCGAGCAATTGGTTATTAAAAATGATGCGTAACAATTGGGCGATCTATTTCTCCCCAAAAATCAATGATGCGTAACAATTAGGTCATCTATTTCCTCCAAAAAATCAATGATGCGTAACAATTGGGCCATCTATTTCCCACCAAAAATCATGTCAGAATGCTGTTCTATTTGTTCGATTATTCTGCACCATTGACGCTAAAATATATAAATTTTATAATAAATAATTGGGGAAGGGAGGCCCTACGCACCAATGATGCAGAATGTCGGGAGAAAGAACCAGACAATTTTTTCAAAGTTTTCAAAATTATGTTTCCGGTTATATTGCACAATTGGTGCAAGAATCTAGGAGAGTTATTATCTATTTTGTCCGCTTATTCCGTACCTTTGGTGGAAAGTTATATACAAATCATTATGACAGGGTGAGCTACTTCTAACGTTACTACGGTTTATTAGCTATTATTTTCGACCTGTTAGGGTAGGCCATTCAGTCCACCGTAGGGTTTAGTTCTTAGGGTATCCCATTCAGTCACTTAGGGTCGCCATTAAATCAGGGTTCGGAAAAACCCGGGGTTTTACTCTGAAAACCACTACCCCGGGGTTTTACTGGGTTTTAGTGGGTTTTACTGGGTTTTGGGGTTTTACTGGGTTTTACTGGGTTTTACTCAATGTTTGGGGTGAAGTAATAAAACTTACAATGTTACGTCAATTTCTTCAAATTAATGAATTTTATCAATATTTATCAAAAACTTCAATTCAAAATGCCAGGAACACAAAAAATGCAAATTTGATCAAACTCCAAGTTAAGCTGTAAATTATGATTTTTAGATCATAAACAAAAATTCGAAATAAATAAAGAAATTTACGGAATATTAATCAGAGTACTTAATTGGAGTTAGATATTCACCTGCAAACTGATTCTATTGACTTATCTATTTGAATTTTAGATAAAACTTAGTAAAACCCGAGTAAAACCCCAAAACCCTAACCCAGTAAAACCCGGGGTCGGAATACCCTGCATTAAATGCGACCCATTTATTTATATGCAGTATCATAAACTCCTCATTACAGGGAATAAGTGACACGCAAAGGATGCCCACATAGTGAAAAGTTTGGAATTTCATACGCGTATAATTATATTTAAATTAATTCGAAATTGACAAGGATAAAGTGTAATCCATAAAACGAGATACAAACTTTACTTTCGATTCCCTTTCTACATAATATAATTCCCCCACCTGAGCCTTCAAGGGGGAGCAGCTTCTCAATTTTCTTTTTCTGTGCGATGAACATCCCCGCATTTCCCAATACCTCACAAAATCTGTCGACCTCTTTGTAACTTGGACCATTAAAGGCATCGCAAAATGTAGCATTAAACCCGCACAGATAATCTGCGAGCCCGCCATGAACGTTAGCGAGAGCGGGACAATGAACGTCAACTTGATCAAAATATACCCCATTATGACGAGAATGATTAAAATGCTGAATACACCGAATAGCATGACACGACGGTAAAGTTCGTTCCAAACTTGGTTGATAATTTGGAGTTGGCGGAATTTCAAAAATGTTGGGGCAAATTGATTCGACCCTGTGCACATTTCATGTAAAGGTTTCAACATCCAGAATAAAACGTTCGTGTGGAGGATGGCGAATCCGAAGACGAGGATGGCAAAGTGCAAAGAGGTAAAAAATACGAGGATGCAGCGAATAATTATTTTAGCATGGAATGGCAGAAATGTAAAATTTCGAAAAATGACGTAGGTCGGGTCAATATTGTGGCGTCGATATGGAACGGTTCCAGTGGCGAAGGGGAGAGTTGCGGTGAGAAAAATGAGAAAATGGAGGACAAGAGCGACCACATATTCGTCCTTTGATGAACCTTTAAACATATGACACTGTTAAAAATATGGTGTGTAGGTAGTTTGGTCGGTATTGATTTCTCGAGCTGCTACGGCTTGGTTTTAAAATTATACCGGTTGGCTAAAAATTTGCTATCGATATGGTAAAACTTAAATGCCGAGCTATTAAACCGTACAACATTTTACTTATCAATACCACTTTGATAGTCATATACATATGAATACCGTTTGATATTATTTTAATACAGGATTTTGTAGTAAAATCTTGGGCTGATTTTTTAAATGTTACATTTTGTCGCTGTACCATTTTCAACCAGAATACTTACCAGAATTTCTATTAGATTTCTGTAAATCGAGCAAATTTCCGACAACGAAACGAATTTCGTCACCTTGAGTAACGTAAGTGATAACTATTCTGCAGATAAGGATGTGTGCTATCGTTGCAAAAATGATCACAAATTCCAATGAGGCTGAGATGTCGGTGTCCTTCACGTTTGACAGGATTCGACTGAAAATAACGTGGATATATAACACAGTGAAAACCATGGTCATCGCGGATAAGCACAACCAGGGGATCAATCTTAGGCATGGCGTCGTCCTACGAGGTTTCCAAGATATGCGATCCCACGTTAAGGTTTGTGAGTATAATTTATGTGAAAAATTACGAATCATTGTAACGCTTG